TAGAATATCATCCAGACCTTAGCTTGACAAACCTTGGCAGTGAACAAACTGGATCACAAAATGAGATATTTTTCTTCTTATCTTGGTTATTCTACTGACTTATTTTATTCTACATTAATGAAGAGTGTCACAATCTGTCTCACAGTCTCCCTTCTCTCTCCATGCCCCACTTCTCCACCCCCCCTCTCTCTCTCTCTCTCTCTCTCTCTCTCTCTCCCCCTCTCTCTCTCTCTCTCTCTCTCTCACTTCCTTTCTCTCTCTCATCATTTTCATACTCTGGTGGTAAATAGTCTGGGTAGTTCGGGATGAAATATAAAGTAAATCCTAAAAAATCATTTCTTACACTGACCCAATCTGACAAGCCTGGCATTCTTTCCAAACTACTGCACATCTTAAAGGTAATACAAAGCTTTGGGAAATTTTGAAATTGGGTGGATAGTGATTCTTTACAATTTTGATATATTTGGATGCCCCTGTGGATGTATCATAAGCACTAGAAAAATTAGCCCTTAAAACACTTCTGCTTTCGAGAAAAATTGAATATAAAAATTTACCGTGCTCCTGGTAAATTTTGATAAATTTCAAATAGCACCTACGGTCGTACAATGGTAGCTGCGACCATGAAAATCTCAGAATATGTAGATGTGGTGGATAATTTCCAAACGGAATAGCTAATTGGTCAATTTTAGTCAAGAAACATTGTTTTATAGCTTAATTAATATCTTGGCCTTAAGAGGGAGCTATATAACATAAAGAGTGTATTATTTACAATTTCATAAGTTTAGACTCGATTTCAACCGCGACAACGATCATTGAATATTGTAGAATTGCATATGCATCCGATATGTTCATTTGAACCAAATTCATGACCCCAAACCAAAACTTTGTATTACCTTTAACTTTTGCTTGTTTTCACATTGACAGTCATGATTTCCAAGTATAGTTTGGTGGTAGTTGGTGGGTATTAATTTCTAAGTAATACCATGGTCTATGCACATACTGATGGGTTAATTAATTGTTAAAATCATCTGAGAAGTGCTGTGAAAAGTATTTTTCCCGATCATTTTTATAAGGTTATTGACAATGACCTTTGGCAGGTGCAATGCCTTGCTCTGTCACCTCCCCTTACCCCTAGAGCCCAATACTGCTCCAATACCCAACCCTTGGGGATTTTCATCTATTTCTCTGAATTATAAAAAAGAGCCTGAGGTTTATCTCAAATGCCAGTGTTACTTATGAATGAACAAAAATGAGAGAAATCAGTGAACCTGTCCAGTCATTTACTTATTTATAGCATAGGTTCATTCATAAAATTGTACTTCTATACAGCTAAATCAGGACAGATACTAACATGCAGTTAAAGCTTCTACCATGAAACTTTGGTAGGCAAGCTTTTGTCCACTTTTGGGGACTTTCTCAAGCCAAGTGATTTTTTATATATTAGTTTCACGATTAATCATGAATTATCAGGTCTATCAAATCATTTTAATCTTCCTCAACATTAATGAAGGTATTTCCTAGAAGAATTTTGAAGAGCATCAACTGTTTTACTTTCAAATAATACTAGGAGAGCAAACACTAGAAAACACAATTCTTCAAATGTCACAGGACATTTCCTAACCTAACCTGGCTTTACTAGCATGGGATATAAGGCTTTGGTCCTATCTGAGGGACTTGGCAACAGAAAATAAATGAAAGGTCACCTGAGGGCACTACAAATCATCAATTCAGTTTGAGACACAGGAACTCTGTGGTTCAGAGCCTAATGCTCTTTTCATAGAACCATTGTATCTTCCTTGTAAGTCTTCTTTGAAGTCATACAAACTCACAAGAAATCCACCAGGAATTGATATACTTCTTCTTATGTAGAACAATTCTGGTATTAAACAATGTAGGTCTTCTATGTGGAAGAGTTTTATCATGGACTTACTAGTTGACAACTATTAAGTCCATGGTTTTATTCAGTCACCTCAATCTACTGTACTTCAAATCCAAATCCCAATTTAAATCTGCAATCTCTTTGAAACTGATAGCTTCTTAATCCTTTTGTCCTTCTTGTAACACCCTTTCCCCCGCAAGTTAAATCTTTGAAATCTCTAAATTGAATGAAGAATGAGGGTTGGATAGTACTCATGTGGTTACATCCCTCTCAATGAAAAGATTGTTAGAATCCTTCCCTTCATTCAGCCTACCAAAATTTGTTGTATAGCTACGATATTAAAGTAAGGAGAATTTTGATGTCTGAATGTCATATGAAGAAACATGATATATTTGGGCATTGTTTTGAATGAAGACTTGATAAAGTATCAGCATCCTGCTATAGTCTAAACGTTGTATTGTACGGAAATCATATAACTTGACCGTGCACTCCTCATTGGCCAGCTGTTATATCAACTGACCTCAACAAAACCAATTCTTTTTATACAATGTTTCTTTGTAGGTGTTGTAATCTAGTCTGTACGCTCCTTTCGCTATACAATATATAAGACATTGCTTTATACGACTTGTATATATTTTGGGTAGTCTGAACAGGCTACAAGACCTCCCTGCCACAAACATACTACATGACCTTGTTAACAACATATTGTGAGAGAGTTAATCTAGCTCAAGTCACAAGCCATTGTGTCAATGGTTCTCTGATCTTTCAGTGGCTGAGCTGGATATGGCTTTGCTAAAGCAATCAAAAATTATCTCAGCAATTACCACTCATCCACTCATCCCACTTTAATTGGTTTGCAATAGTTTAGTGAGATAATCTACCTGTCTATCCAGCTGATCACCTTATAAATGAGTTGAAAGAAATGTTTTGAGGTGATGATGCAAGGGTAATGATAGAAAGGATTGATATTTGGTGTGGTAAGTAAAAAGATAAGGATACATTTATTCACATTCATGTAGGTCCAAGTATTACTGGTAGAAGAGAAACCATAGATTCAACCTATTCATATGAATGTTTCCCACCTGCTCCCTATCCTTGACAACATCATCCTTCAAGAGCAATCAGGATTTCATTATTCAATTTAAATATCCAATTAAATGATTTGATAGATAATGTATACCTTAATTATCTCAGCAAAAGAGAGGGTATACATTTTGTTTTATATCACATAAAACATCCACAATATGTTAATACAGAAGGGAGCATTCTAGGGTCTCTATATAATTTCAAAATATAGTCAACATACTTTTAAAATATCAAATCAATTATGTACCTTTTCAAATTAAAATTTCATCAGCACAATCACACCAGGTTTATTTTGTATTACTGCAAACACAATATTTAATGTTCTTTGTGTCATTTTCTTATCTATTCTTAATGTTCTAAGTGTTCCTGAATTAGCAGACAACATCATTTGTGGAGATGATGGAAGTATAAAACATGAAACACTGAATATTGTTTGTTATGATAGTACTGATCCTTCATGATGATACCAATGATTTCTTGGAGGTAATTTTTTTAAATAAAAAGGAAAGTGAAAACAAGACATGTACTATCCTGCATCATCAGCACACTGTGATTTTTACTACATATAATGATAACGAATAGTTATGTGCTAGAGGCAATATCCCATACATCCCATGCTCAGATTATCATAGATAGCTCTACAGAAGTTGGAGCAAATCATGCACGCAACAAGCTTATTTCTCAATTCATTTGCACAATAACTTGACTTTTCGCTCACACTCCAGTCTTTAGTGCTTCTTTTGTTGCCACCAAACAAATGATCGCATTTATCTTGTCAACCTGCCTGCACCTCCAAAGCGGGTCTACAAAGGGTGAAGTCATGTAAACCGGTAGCAGCTCACTACTACATTGAATCTGGTTCTGAACGCAGCTAGCTAGCTAGATGGTCCCATTCAATCATTTCAGGTGCAAAGAGAGCGCTAAACTTAACACCAAGACTAGCTGCAGCCTCGATGGAGCATAAAAATTTGGGTTTCCTTTTGTAGATGGTCATCATTCAGTGATGATGAACATCTACAAAAGGAAAGGTTTGTCTCATCATGGACCTACTACGATTTCTAGGCAACTAGAAGCTGATGATTACTTACTTTAAAACTAGAAAATTTTGTGAGCATGACATTTTTACAAATCTTTGCAAATTTTGCGAGATTCCCTAAAGTTTTTTGGCACAAAAGCGGAAACAACACAGACATTTCTACGATTCAATAAAGTTTCTTGGCATAAAAATCGCTGTCATTTACAATGCGAGAGAGTGTCTGTCAAAACAATTTTTGGTTTGACTGTAGTCAAACTCATTGGCTAATTTATTAAGCCTAATGAAGAAATTTGATAACAGTAGTACTGTTATCGAACTGGTACATACTAGCTGAACCTCTTAAATCAATACATGACAAGCTATATTTACACTCAGACCTGTGAGTATGAGATTTGAGACTGCAGCATTTGAAAGTGCAAGAATGCTTCCACCTTTGTTCATCTGCACACAATAACAAATATCTTGAAGGTTCTGTATATACTCTTGAGGTATCACCCTACCAATTCGGTGAGATTTACCAAATATTTTCCCAAATTCTGTCACACTTTCAGCTATCAATCAATATCATAGTCCATCAAAGTGTGTATAAAGCTAGACTTACAAGGTTACCTTCAACAGTGTGTTTGCAACTTGATGAAGATATACAGTTTTAGAATTGATCATCTTGTCAATGATAACTTTTGTTATTTGAGTTCTATGATGAAAGCAGGGCTGCAGGATAGTATACCTGAATAACCTCCCCGTTTCTCTCCATCTCTCTCTCCTACTCCTCTAACTATTCCCCCCAATTCCCCTCCCCTACCATCACCACTATTACCACACCATCACCAATATAACACCCCTACACTACATCTATCAACAATATCACCATCATCACCACCTCTATCCAGTCACCCCCTCACTACCATCATTATATCACTACCACCTCCACTTCCAGGCATCCACCATCACCATCACAACCCCCACCACATAGTTATTCACAACACCACTTCCACCTACCCTGGGATGCACTGCCTCTCCTGGTAGGACACTCCGCCTTCACATGATCTTGAGCAGGCACTCCAAATGCCCCACTCTCCCCACCCTGACTCAGGTGCTTGACGGGCGATGCGATGGATCTGAGATTGAAATAGGTGCAAGAAAAAAAAAAAATTTTATGAATGTGAGTTTTAACAATTTGTTAAAACATAACTGGAATATCCTGTGATAACAATATTTAAAGTAATGGTAAACATGTTTTTGACCATGATCTAACAATATATAGTATTTTAATTATCTAAGCTCTGAACTTGAGAGAGAGAGAGATAAGAGAGAGGGAGAGAGAGGGGAGAGAGAGAGGGGGAGAGGGGGAGAGAGAGGGAGAGAGAGAGAGAGAGATTTGATAAACATGTTTAAATTGTTCTACTTCCTATATGTGAATGTCTGACACATATTTGATAAGTCATTATTATCATTCTCTTTAATACTGATATGGTCTTTTATTGCTAAATAATCTAAAAAATACAAGTAGGCAAATGTGTGAAGGATAAAAAGAAATGTACATATAAATAGAGGGGAGTACCCTCCATACCCTGGAAAGCAAACAATCATTATTGTACATTGAAGGGCATGTAAGTCTATGAGCCTGTTCGGACAGTAAGAAAATTATACAAAACTTGTTTAAAGAAACATCATGATACGAAAGGAGCATACAGACTAGAAGGAAAAAAACATTGTATAAAGAAACTAATTTTAAAGAGGTCAATCATCAGCATTCATTCCAGATAAGTCCTGCCCGGTAATATGATTTTCATATGATACAACATTCAGACTAGAGCGGGACCCTGATTCTTGATTGAATGTTTTGTTCGAAACAATGTTCAAACAAGCGTTTTGCTATATGAAGTTTCACCATACAAAGTACAGACAGGTTCAGATATATAGCTAAACGATGAACTCTGCTAGCCTGAACGCAATGTGAATCACATAAAATCATGGATAACTGTAAAGAAAATATAACAGAGTCATCAAGGACAAAGTATATACCCTGTGACAAGTTATCTGCTCTAGAAGAAAAGTCAATATTTGATCTTTGATTCAAAAGGACCACTATCAATGGCTAAGCATATCACATTAGACATGCTGATCTGCACAACTGATGAACATACAGTGACTAGACACGTGCATGCAAAATGTGCACCTGGAAATATCTCATGACTTTACACCATATTGTCAGCCTCCAATGTGAAACACCATGTGAACCATATTTTGTCATCATTTATGTTGTTCCCTGTATGATGGTATCTTTATTCTTACTTTCCTTGATCAAATCCAAACTTTATGCATAAGTTGGATAGTAGCCCATATACAAATATAATTTTGATAGACAGTTTAGCTTTCAAGGGGTTCCAAATACCTTCTCATATACCCACCAAAATAACACAACTTTTCACAAAAAGTATAGAAAGTCTTTCCCTTGACCTCATAACTTATATGTCCTTCATACAGCTGCTACGATCAGAAACTGCATTTACACTACAACACATAATCATCAATTTTTCTCACATTCCAGTGTTTCGCCTGCAAAAGCGCAACTACCGGCAAACACGACAAAAAATTGAAATTAAAAAATCAATCTCTTGAGTTTGGTTTTTCCCTTAGATCAAATATAGTCCTAGAAAAAGCGTCTTTTTCTTCAGTATACAAGTGCCATTGATCTAAATTTAAGAGTAGATTTTCTGAGTCTGAAACAAAATTGAGGTATGTTTGAGTTGTGTCCAGCTTTCCAGCAGTTGCACATTTGTTCTACTTCATTTAAAGTATACGATTGACCGTAAGAATGTTCAGGCAAATGGCATCCTATGTTTCAGACCTTTTAGCTTTCATGGAACTTACATCTGGACCCTCAAGGAAACAGTTTGAGAACCCCTGCACTAGAAGGAGCCCCATCAACATATCAACAATGTGCATTTTTGTTCTTGATTAAGCTGTACCAGTACTGAACAATCCCTCAAATACATCTTAAAAGTGACAGTCTCCAAAGTGAAATTTTTTGTATTTTCATTCACAAACAAACTGTATTTTTGAAGTGTCCTTAAGACCTTAACATTGGTATTGGTATGTCAATCTCACACAGGTTAGAACGTTTGCTACCCTTGACTTCCCCCCAAACAAACAAAGACAAACTTCTGATTGGTATTCTAAAATGGTCAAGTTTTTTTGGTATAGATCCCAAGAGGAATATAATTATCTAACCCTTGAGTTTATTTGTCACCTGTTTCTATCTATCACATATATTTTTTTTTCAAAAAGGAATTTAGTATCAACAACAAAATGGTAGGGTCAACTGAAATATTTTCAGTGAGAATTTAGAATTTTCATTGGTACTCTGGGATTTTTGGTAAGTATCAAATATTACCTCATCTTAAAGGTAATACAAAGTTTTGGTATGGGGTCGTGAATTTGGTTCAAATGAACATATTGGAAGCATTTGCGATCCTACTATATTCACTGATCGTTGTCGCGGTCGAAATCGACTTTAAAGTTATGAAATTGTAAATAATAAACATTTATGTTGTATAGCTCCCTCTCAAGGTCAAGATATTAATAAAGCTATAAAACAATGTTTTTTGACTAAAATCGACCGATTAGCTATTCCCGTTCGGAAATTATTTACCACAACTACATAATCTGAGATTGTCATGGTCGCAGCTACCATTGTTCGGCCGTTGGAGCTATTTGAAATTCATCAAAATTTACCGGGAGCACCGGTAAATCTTTATATTCAAATTTTCTCGAAAGCAGAAGTGTTTTAGGGGTTAAAATTTCTAGTGCGTTTAATACATTCACAGGGGCATCCAAATATATCAAAATTGTAAAGAATCACTATCCACCCATTTTTCAAAATTTCCCAAAACTTTGTAATACCTTTAATAAAAAATTTCCCCACCTATATTTTTCCTGCAATGACTGCAAATACACCAAAGCTTTGTTTGGGAAGGAGAGAGCGAGAGAGAGAGAGAGAGAGAGAGAGAGAGAGAGAGATGTTGTTTGTCTCCTGGCCTCAGCATATCATTGACCATGGCAAGATGTAGTCATGTATGTGATGTAGATAATGAAATAACTTGACATCAAGTGCTTAGACAGGAGGCCATTCTGACCATTGGTATGAATTAGAGATATGCGTTTATCTTTTATGCAGTATGTCACTTTGAGCTGAATTATGGCCGGCCATCAATGTCAGCTGCTTAGTCCTTGTCCTCCTACCTTAATACACTTCCCTAATGGAGCAAGGTAACATCTAGTCTTCAACTTGGTCTTGTGAACACAGAAAAAAAATATTGATGTACTTCAAAAGAATCATCAGATCTTATAATATTAATTAAATTTATTCTTTAAAATGTATCTTTTCATTCAAAGAATGTTACATGAACATTTTTTTGTCATTTCATATTTTCTTATCCTGTTGGTGGACTGCTCAAGTTTTAAAAAGAAAAGTTTGAACAATCCTGGAAAATACCACTGCCTTGAATCTTTAGTGAACCAAAACTGAACAAAAACTAATAGCGTCAAATAAAAGATAATACACATATATTTCCTTGATAGTTGTATCTTATCTAAAGTTATTCAGCTAAAAGACCTAGTGTAATCTGTTTGTACTTATTTGTATAATGTAAACATTTAATGTAACTAAGAACTAAATTCTTATTTTATCTGATAATTCAAGGAAGTTTCAACAAACAGTAATCAAAAGATATCCTTAATTAAGCCTTAATTTTGCAAAGTATGCTAGATTGGCAAAAGATATGTTCACATAATAAATCCTCAATATTTTAAACATAAGTCCACTAGAAACAACACAAAACGACTGCTCAAAGTTTTGAACTATACAAGTGAACTATGCAGTTAGTGTAACTACAAGCTGCTGAAACTTCAACTAAATTGCATCTGCACAGCACATAACTGGCCCCTGCTGCTCATAGCGTTCCCATTAACAATGAGATCACTCATGGTTTGGGCTTTGACATTGAGTAATGTCTGAACGTTCCTTTGACTACAAGATAACCTCAACGTTTCAAACCACAAGCTAGCTACAGTAATAAGACAAATAGTTAGGATATCTACAAGTTTAACAGTATGACATAATTAATCTAGTTAAATTTATGATTGCATAATCTTGACTAATTAAAAAAAGCCACTTGCTTATCTATTAAATGACTTGCAAATAAAAGAGAATCAAGTATATTTGAACATCAAATAAAGCCATACCTCTGTTACATATTAAGCTTACACTCAATACCTGCTTGACCTTATTCAATTTTACCACAAAGGTTTTGCATTTATAACTAAAGTATTTTCATTAGTCAATTTTAAAGTCACAATCACTTAAGTGAAATATATTCTAAGTAGACATTGCCTCAGAACTCCTGAATTTAACATATAATGTAATTTCTCTGGAAAATGATAAAATAAATTTGACTTGTTAGAGAAAAGGTATACAGATATTTAATGGTTATAAAAAAGTAACATTATTCCATGGTGTGAAAAATTCAGTATTTATTTATTCAGGCAAAGCTAATTAAATAGAACCAATTATGTTGGGGAAAACAGCCCCAAAATATGCCATAAAGAGTAAGTAACTTTAAAAGTAGAAAAGATCTTGTTTTTTTGTGTGTTTTTCATGATGGATATCATAAATGTATGTTCCCATGGCCATGAACCAATGACCTGGGATGGTATTCTGAAAATTGCTATCTTTTAAGTTAATAAAAAGATGTTGTCATGACAAATCTAAATTAGGACAAGTCATTGGTTTATTCTTCACAAAGCTTGCAGCGAATGTGTACAGTTCAGAGAGGTATCTGCGCAAGCTCCAGTCTGTGCTTATTCGGTGCAATTTTCACTAACATAAAAGATGATATAGTTTTCAGAATATGGCCCCTGAATTTATCAAGTAGTCAATATGCCTTCCTTTCACCTAGTACCTATCACAGGATCCCTGGTTGCACCTCAATGCATGCATCAAATCTTTACAAAAAATAAAGCATAAAGAAAATTCTGTTTAATTTCATTTAATTACTTTCTTTCTCAATGAAATTATGATTTTTAACTGATTATAAAAGAAGAGAAGAATTGCATA